AGAAGCTGAGGCCTTACTTCATCTCCGCGGTTTCCCGCTCAGCATGGAGGCATCCACTACCGCGGCGGCTGCAGGGCGCACGCGCGGCTCTGGCGCCGCGCTCCCATTGGACTGTGAGGCGCTCACGCTGCGCCGGAAGATTGCGGCTGCTCCGAACGCGCCCCGCCCCTCCGCGCCGGGGCACGGCGCCTGCGCACTAGCGCAGGAAGCGGCTTTACGCTTCGGTTCGAGTTAGCTCTTCCCGAGAATTCTCCCTCCCTCTGTGAAACGGGGCGGGGATGAGAGCCTGGTCTGCTACAAAACCCCAGTTCCTGCACGACCCCGGGCAGCGACGGGGCTAACTATAAATGTTTGTTGAATGAAGACTTGAAAAAGGTGCCTGCTATAACGAGTGTAGTCCCAGCCTTCGCTCGCAGTTCAAATCCCCACGCTGGCCAGTCGCTCACACACACACCCATCAAAGCATCCCTGTTCAGGAGTTACCGCAGGAAAGTAAAGAAGATATGTGAGAAGGTAAATCCTCTTTATCCCTCAATTCCAGTGCATAGATAACTGACCAGTTGGCCCCTATAGGCTTACTTGAATACCCAGTTTTGTGTGAGAGCTGCTCTACTCACCCTTTTCCATAGTCTCTCTCTCCTACTTAAGCAGAAGGCAGAAGTTAATATTGTTAAATTAATACCTAACACTTGAGCGGATAATGCTAGGTTATGTGCAAAGCAATTTGCATGCACTGACCCCTCTAGCCTCACAATAACCCCATAAAGTCTATATTGCCATCCCCGTTTTATAGAGGAAGAAACAGGTTCAAAGGAATTAATTAGCTTGAAAGGTACTCTGCCTCTACCCAGGGGTTCTGGTTGATTTAATCAGTCCTTACGGAGCACCTATATTTGTCCTATACAGCAAGTCTGTAGACTGGAGTGTAACGTAGGTTCTCTGCCCTCAAGGAGCTAATAATATTCTAGATATATTTACTTGATACATTTCATACCAGAAATAATCAAGAACCCATAAAGGGATGGTGGCATATAATGTGTGATTTAAGCCATACTGAAGATTTTAATCCATCTTGCATGTGTCCACATCAATACCTGGTCTCAAACCATGCATCGTCTAAAAGTGAAGGTCCAGAGCTGTGTAGTTCTGTGCAGACCTAGGTCTAAGCCCTTCATAAAAGCACTTTGATGATGATGGTGATGATGACAACTATACCCTCAATGGCTCGCCATGTACTACTCAGTGTCCTGTCAAGAAGCAGAACAGAGGCTTCATTCATTCTCTGCTCCTCCCCACTCTAACCCAGCTATTCATTAACTTTGTAGAATTATCTTAGCAATGAAAACTAAACAGTGACAGATTGCATGTGGGTTTTATCTGCTCCTAGAGATCTTAGGTTGCTTAGTTGTATGGTTGAAGTAGCCCCTGCAGATGCAGCATTATCTGGTTGGATTACTCAGGCCACTGTGAAATGAGAATTGAGGCTAGACCACTTCATAGTTCTTCTGTTCTGAGTCATTATCTCATGCCTCCTAACTCTTTCAGTACTCTTATACCTGCCCCAGTCCCTATTCTCCAGCCTTTCCTCCCACTGGTCTCCAACAGGAAGCTTCAACTTCAGCCATACTCTAATTCTATTCATTCACTTAAGGGCCCCTTTCATTGTGTAAACTAGACACCTCTGCTGAGATAGCCCCACACCCCGGGGCCACTCTCCTCTCACTGAATGAAACCTGCCCCAGCTCCAAACTCCCATCAAGGCATCGCTCAAGCAGAAAACCTTTCCTCGCCTTACCAGCCCACAGTGATGGTTCCCACTTTGGAACTCTGCAGCACATCACAGTTCTTTTATGTTCTCCCCCCAGAAAGACTATAAGATCCTAGAAGGTAAAGGCTCTGCATTTTTAAGCCCTCAGCCCCTCAGACCTCAAACATTTTCCTGCACACATAGCAAGCAACCAATACACTTACTGGTTAATGAAACTGAAAATACACAAAACTGTAGTTACCTTTAGGAAAACAGATGAGTATAGGGGGAGAGAGGCTTTTCTTTCCTTTCTATATTGTTAGAATTTTCTTACCTTTATCCAGATATTGCTTACATTTTTATTGCCATGTTATCTTGGCAGAGAGATCATGACCTTTATATTAGCACTTTTGTCTTTCATTCATTCAAATATCTATTTAACAGCTGTTATATGCTAGACACTGTTCTAGGTGCTGGGGTTATAACAGTAAACAAGGCAAGCAGAGTTCCTGTCCTCTTGGAGTTTACATTCTTGTTGGGAAAAAGGCAAATAAACATAAAAGTATATATTCAATGTTGATAAGTGGTATGAAGGAAAAACAAAGCAGGGTAAGGGGACAGACAGTGACAGAATGTTGCTATTTATAAAGGGTGATTGATTAAAGAAGGCTTCCCTGATAAAGTGACATGGAGGCAGAGACCTGCAAGAAGATGGGGAGCAAGTCATGGGGTATCTAGGAGAAGAGTGTTCCCAGCAGAGGGAACAATAAGTGCAAAGGTCCTGAGACAGGAGTGTGTTTGAAAAACAACAAGGAAGCCAGAGTGGCTGGAGAGGAGGAGCAGGCCAGGAGAAGAATGATAGGAGACATTTATTTAACAAAATCTGATTTAGTACCCTACATGTATACCATTGTTCTAAGTACTTTACATACATTAACTCATTTACTTCTTACAACAACCCTATAAGATAGATACTATTGTCCCCATTTTGCAGATGAAACTGAGGCACAGAGAGGTTAATTCACTTGCCCAAGGCCACACAGCTGGTAAATGGTAGAGCCAGGAATTGAATCCAGGTATTATCACTCCAGAGTCTGCATCCTAAGCCACAGAATAAGTGGGGACAGAGGAGCAGATTAGGCAGGGCCATGTTGAGTAGAAACTTTGGATTTTACTCAATGTGAGGCAAGAAACCACCAAAGGATTTTATTCTGACTTACCTTTTAGCAGGATCACCTTGGCTGCAGACTGGAAAGGCAGGGAGAGCAGATGGGGCACCTAGGGTAGAAGCAGGAAGATTAGTTAGGAAGCTCTGCAATAATTCAGGCAAGAGATGATGGTGTTTTGCCTCAGGATGATAGCAAAGGAGGTGATGTTCCATGTTGGTATTTTTTTTTTAAGCTAAAACATACATTTAAAAAATAAATAGGAACACACATGATGCCAACATAAAGGCATGTACTGTGTTTGTAAGTGCTCAGGTGCTGGGCTAGACGCTGGTGATACCACAGTGAACAAGACCACAAGACCCAGTCCCTACACTTGACCGGCTCACAATGTTGCCTGATATGTTGCCACATATGAATAAATGTAATAGAAAGTGATGAGTGTCATAATAAAGGTATGAGTGAAATGCTATTGGAACCAGATAAGGAATTGTTTAATTCTGACTACTGAAGGTCAGAGAGACCCTGGGGTAGAAAGCAGATTTGGGGAAAGCTATAGAGGCAGGTGACATGTTGGCTGGCAGCATTCTTCTTGTGTGTGCTGGGGGTTGGCATCCCTTGAGAGGCTGAAGGCAGGTTTTCAAAGCTGTAGGATGATGCCACACATATTTCATTCTCTCTCTGTTCAGCAACTTACCTTCTGGAGAGAACAGGTAGCAAGTCAGAAGAATATAGACTCTGAGGCTTGACAGGTTTGAGTTCAAATCCCAGTCCCACCATTTGCTAACTGTAAAACGTTGGTCAATTTAGTTGGCCTCAATAATTTCTTTGTGCATTGATGATAATATCACTTCACAGGAATGTTGTGAAATTAAATGATATCATACATGTAAAGTTTGTCTGATAAGAGGTAGGTGTTACTAATATTAATAACCTTCTCAGGTTCCAAATACCCCCAGCCATTGTTACAACCCTCAAATTGTTTCAAACCCCCCTCCAAATCTTACCCCCAGCTCTTCCTCAGGGAAAAGTTGGAAATGGCTGTCTGAGAGACAGAGGGCTGCAGTGTGCAATGCAGGCTAGCATGACCCCTTCAGCTCAGTCTTTTTTGATGAATAGCCTTCGAGAAAGACTTTCAGTGAAAAAGCGAGAAGTATTCATTGACTATATATTTTCTACTCTCACCTCACCCCACCCCATAAGCCATGGTAATGAACCAAAAATGTCTATGCCTCATTACCCAACTCCTACTCTGCAGGGGAGGGAAGGATTTCAAAGTACTGGCCCAACAATATAAATAAATAAAAGGAGCAAAAAGGGTCTGAGCCCGGAGTGGCCAATGAAAAGGTTTCCATACTCACCATGCTCCTCTGGCCTGCAGAAAGGCTTGGCTAAGATGCAACACGATCACAGCAACTCAGAAGCACCTAGACGGATCTTTCCTTTTAGAGGCCTGCCTGTTTATATAGCTGGATGGGATCAAAGGCTTTCCAAGGACTGCTTTCTCCCTGCAGAGTGCCTGCCCTCTGCTGGGCTTTCTGGTCATTGGCGTTTTGGCACCTTAGGCCTTCAAGCTGCTGTTTCCTGGCTAAGTAGGAACCTTTGTAGTATTGCAACCAAATGTCTCAGGCAGTAGGCACTGCCGAGCAGCAATATAACCAGGACCTAGTTTTTGAACTGTCTCCTCACATTAACACTTTAGCTCAGTTTATTAGTTCCTACTACTGTTCTAACAAATTACCACAAATTTAGCATTTAAAACAACACAAATTGGCCCTAGCTGGTTTGGCTCAGTGGTTAGATCATCAGCCCTTGGACTGAAAGGTCTCAGGTTCATTTCTGGTCAATGGCACATACCTCGGTTGTAGGCTCAATCCCTCGCCCCGGTAGGGGTGCATGTAGGAGGCAACCAATCGATGTGTCTCTCTCACATCGATGTTTCTCCCTCTGTCTCTCTCTCCTTCTCCCTTCCACTCTCTCTGAAAAACAATGGAAAAAACATCCTCAGGTGAAGATTAAAAACACATACACACAAATTGATTAGCTTACAGTTGTCAAGATCAGAAATCTGAACTCAGCTTTCCTTGGCTGACATTAAAGTATTCAAATATTTGAATCGCCTGAGGAACTTTTAAAACTCCAGATGCATAGGTCACACCCCAGACTAATGACAGTGGAATCTCTTGGTGTGTGACCCAAATGTCAGTAGTTTTGGAATCACCAAGTAATTCCACTACACAGCTAAGGTTAAGAATCATCTCACTAGATCGGTGGTTCTCAAAGTGTGATCCCCAAACCAGCAGCATCAGCATTACCTGGGAACTTGTTAGAAATGCAGATTCTCAGGTCCACTGCAGACCTAATGAATCCCAAACTCTGGGGATGAGGCCCAATACCTATAGGGGATTCTTATGGGCTTGAAAAGGGCCATCTTGACTCCGTGAATGGAATCTAGGGCTGGGGAAACAAAAAGCACACTTTAGATCCAGGTGTAGAATTTGGCCAGGTGCCAAGCAACTGAAATCAGCCTTCTAATGGATGGAAGGAAGAATAAGAACACTTCTCAGGCTGGCAACTGGAATACCAAGTCCCCACACCACAGCCTTTCTGATCCTTTGTAGGAGAGTCATCTGCCAAAGGCCTACTCCGTTTTTCAAAACATCTGAATGTATTTGCCTCCAACTCTGCACCTTGCTCCACTCCCTCACTTCAAATAACCTTTCCCATTTGTGCTCTCACCTGAACTGTGTAAATAAGCTTCTAACGGCTCTTCTCCCCACTCCCCTCTTCTTGGTATCCAAGAAGAGAGTAGCAGGCAAAAGGTTAGTTCTAATGTACCTGAGCAAATGGATATACAACCTAAAATAGGAGCGGCATACACATCTGCCCTTCCTGAACCCATTTCACCTGCCTCAACAACACTGTCATCGCTGGGAAGTGGAAAATTCCACAACCAAACATTAAAGCAGACACTTTCTAGAATGCAGTCCACCGCCTCTCCTTCTGTCCCAGAGATAACTCGGGTCTACAGGATCAAGAAAGGCAAAGATCGGAGGGGTAGCTCCGTACGTTGAAGGACACAGCCTGCGGAATTCGTGCTTTTTGCAAGATTGAAATCAGGGCAGGTCCAGAAACTGATGCCCAATTCCAATTCACTGGTATCAAAAAATATTTCAACTCTTATAGTCTCATGGGTAGAATGAATTGTGTACTGGCCACATATGGAGGCATTGCTTTGCTGGTTTTATACGTCAAGTTAAGGCCTAAAAAAACTCCAGCTGTGAAAGCAACATAAAAGGATTCTAAACTGTACCTCATCTGTTAATTTCCCATGCCTGGAGAAGCTAATGTCAACTCATTATGTGATACTCAATTTATACAATAAATTATGAACCTGGAAAAATAAAAAAAGAAAGGCAAAGATCAAGAAAGGCAAGGTTACAGGGTAAAGAAAGGCAAGGCTCGCAGCCACTACTCATGACCAGAAACGTGGCCTGACATGGTGCAGAAAAATTCTCAATGAGTATATCCAACAGATGCAGCCTTAGACGGGGATGGGCTCTATTCTAAACAGAATGAAGGCTATTAATAATTCTCAGCTTTGTTTTTCCCTCCCTTCTAAATCCAAAACTGAGTTCTGAGGGGTGAGAAAGAGGGGAACAGCACACCCTGTTTGAGAAAATTAGAATCTGAGGTGTTTGGAAGCAAAAGATAAGAAACAGCTTCAATGTGTGGAAAATCCCCTGGAAGTATGCCGGGTCCTGACATAACTTGCCTGCCCTCACTTCCCACTTCAACTGATTGTGATCATCTTGCTTGATTAAAAGCTGTCCTAATAAATAGCAAATAAGAGTTATCAAGCAAATGCTTGATTAAGCTGAGGTTAGTTGTTAAGCTTGAGGCTGAGGAGGAAGAGAGGTGTGCTTCAAGTCAATTATATCTTCTGCCAGACAGATGACCCGCTGAACGCTCCAGTCCGTGAAGCATCAGTGAAAGGAGAGAGAGCCTGGTGAGACAGTGTGCACTGGGTACTTGCGAGTTGTCTAGTAACTTGGTTGTTGGAGGGGGAGGGACTAGCTCAGGGCCCAGGGGAGGTCTGCACAGGGATTGCTGCCTTCAGAGAGCTGGAGAGGCAAGAGGCTGAGGACTGAAAAGGGAGGGTGGGTGATTCTTAATAACCAGCAGGATCCCAAAGATGGCAAGCTGCCAGCCTGGACTGCCAGTGATGGCCAGAACTGTGCTGCAGCTCTGAATCCACGGCTCCTTCTCCTCCAGCCCCTGAGAATTTGAGCTGGAGAGCCAGCATGCCCTGGTAAGTGGGAATCCTGCCACTTCCAGACATGGAGTCATCTTTCCCATTTGGAGTGATCCTTGCTGTCCTGGCCTCCCTCATTATTGCTGCCAATGCCCTAGTGGCCGTGGCTGAGCTGCTGTTGATCCACAAGAATGATGGTGTCAGTCTCTGCTTCACCTTGAACCTGGCTGTGGCTGACACCTTGCTTGGCGTGGCCATTTCTGGCCTAGTCACAGACCAGCTCTCCAGCCCAGCTCGGCCCACGCAGAAGACCCTGTGCAGTCTTCGGATGGCATTTGTCACTTCCTCCGCAGCTGCCTCTGTCCTCACGGTCATGCTGATTGCCTTTGACAGGTACCTTGCCATCAAGCAGCCCCTCCGCTACTTGCAGATCATGAATGGGTTCGTGGCTGGAGCCTGCATTGCTGGGCTGTGGTTGATGTCTTACCTCATTGGCTTCCTCCCACTTGGAGTCCCCATATTCCAGCAGACCACCTACCAGGGGCCCTGCAGCTTCTTCGCTGTGTTTCACCCGCGCTTTGTGCTGACCCTCTCCTGCGTTGGCTTCTTCCCAGCCCTGCTCCTCTTCATCTTCTTCTACTGTGACATGCTCAAGATCGCCTCTCTGCACAGCCAGCAGATCCGGAAGATGGAACATGCAGGAGCCCCGGCTGGAGCCTGCCGGCCCCCACGGACTGCCAGCGACTTCAAGGGTCTCCTTACTGTGGCTGTTCTCATTGGGAGCTTCACTCTGTCCTGGACCCCATTCCTTATCACTGGCATTGTGCAGGCGGCCTGCCAGGAGTGCCACCTCTATGTAGTCCTGGAACGGTACCTGTGGCTGCTCGGTGTGGGCAACTCCCTGCTCAACCCACTCATCTACGCCTGTTGGCAGAAGGAGGTGCGGCAGCAGCTCCACCAGATGGCCCTGGGAGTGAGGAAGGGGCTCGCCTCCTTCCCCCTCCTTCTCAGGGCCAGGCACGGTGGCCCAGAGTTGTCAAGGGAAAGTTCCTGTCACATCGCTACTATCTCCCACCCACAGCTTGATGGCTAAGACGGTAAGGGCAAAGAAGTTTCAAAGTGCCTCTTCCCTCCTCTCTCTAGGTCCCAACCAGGAGATCAGATGGAGCTAAGGGAATGAAAGCACCTATTTCAGGCAACTAACCACCCCCCCAACCCCCCTCACCTACACTGAGAAATAACTGAGGCAGGGCGCTGACTTTCTTCTATAATCCAGTTTCACCATTTCCAATCTCCATTCCTCTCTGTCCTTCTCTTGCAATGAGTCTGTTTCTCCTGTACAGGTATTACTTACTTAAAGCACTAAATGTACTACTGGAAAGATGCTTAAAAGTCAAACCCTATTTTTTAATACACTAGAGCAGCACCAGACAATAGAAATAAAATGCAAACCACATACATACCTTTAAATGTTCTATTAGTCACATTAAAAAAGTAAAAAAGAAAAAACAGGTGAAATTAATGTTAATGTTTCATTTAACCCAATATATCCAAAACATTATTTCAATATAATCAATATAAAAAACTATTACATTATTTTTTTCATTCTAAACCTTTGAAGTTGGGTGTGTATTTTACCTTTACAGAACATCTCATTCAAACTAGCCATATTTCAGATGCTCAATAGCCACATGTGGCTAGTGGCTACCATATTTTATAGCACAGCACTAGAGAAATAAGGTCCTGTTTTTGTTTTGTTTTTTAATCTATCTTTATTGATTTCAGAGAGAGGAAGAAAGAGGGAGAGAGAGATAGAAATATCAATGATGAGAGAGTCATTGATCGGCTGCCTCCTGCACGCCCCACACTGGGGATCGAGCCCACAACCTGGGCATGTGCCCTGACCAGGAATCAAACCGCGATCTCCTGGATCATAGGTTGATGCTCAACCGCTAAGCCACGCCGGCCAGGCAAGGTCCTGTTCTTTTTAACTGTTTACTATAGTGATTGCTTTGGTAAAGTGAGGAATCCTGTCCCCCTGACATAAATCAGACATTTTAAGTAGCGAGTGTGCATAAAATGTAGGAACCTGTATTAGATTCTAAGATGTGTCTTTCCCCACACTTCATGGTGTTCAAGACAGTGTTTCTTTGGGAAATAGCCTATCCTGTGATTATTTCTATTAACTCTCCCAGTCCACCACCTTTCGAACTTTGTGGTGGCCTCTCCCCTCAGCTGGCCTCTTATTTCATTTGTAGCTTCTTGCCGATGACAATGCTGAACCACAGATTCTGAGACACTGAAAGGGGAGGAAGAAGGAAAAGGGGTCGGTACCAAGGAAGGCACTACCAAGCTCTCTAAATTTGACCCACTTTGCTCATCAGAGCTTATCTTTCTTCCATTTACTCCCAAACTTTCATTTTCCTAAGAAACTCAGTTGCATAAGAGAATGTCTCCAAAATGGCTCCGGAGACCAGCTGAGGAGCAGGTGCCTCTTTCTGCTCTCTGTGTGTACAGAAAATGACTGTTGGCATCTGGGAATTATGTTCCTCAGGCTCCCTCTGGGAAACCCTAGCAGCAGAAATTCAAAACCAGAGTGGGGAAGAAACCCAGGAACTATGCTCAGCCTTCCTGGGCTTCCCTGTAACCCTTTCCTCAACCTCCTGATCTCCAGAGTGAATTCCTAGAAAGTTTGTCTCTTAAAGACCTAAACTAGATTATCTCCCTAGAAAACTGAATAGACAAAAGAGGGCAAGAAGAAATCTCAACAGTATGGATTAATTTGTCTGGGAGTTGGTGCCAAAACAACCTCAGAAGGTTAACGTCTCTGTATCACTAAAATGATGGCTTGAGAACCTGGATGCTTTGCACTTGGGTTTTAATTTCTTTTCAGTTTTCGATGAACTCCCAGCTTGCTCTTCCCAGGTTGTTCAGAGGTTAATGATCATCCCTTTCAATTCCTTACGCTCAGAAATTCCCTTCTCCCTATCTTCAAGCTCCACCTTGAGCACAAATAGCCTGTTTCTCACTAATTTATTCTAATGCGTAACCCCTCCTTTGGTAGATCTTTTTGCAGTTGCTTTGCTTACCACTCTGGCCCAGAGGAAGACTGTGCCTGCCCTCACCATAGTAGGTTTTATATTCCTTCAACTGAAGAACTTTTGGCTCTCGAGGGGATGATGGAAGCCAATATGCTTTGAAGTGTTGAGCACCCAGCAAGGACCAGTTATGCCAGCAATAAGGACCACTCTTGGATTGGGTTATGAGTTACTGGGAACTAGGTAAAACACAAACAGTAACTGAGTCTTTGGACAAAGCTTAATTTCTTGGCCTTGCTGCAAAGGATTGATCTTGCCAAGGTAATGCAAGCAAAGTATAATGAAAATTAGTTATAGGAGAGAGGCAGGAGCTGAATCGAGGCTAGGTGATTGTTACTAGGTTCAGTCTAAGAAACTCTGCTATCCCTAGGAGTCGGTATGTGCAGTGGAAAAATCACAGACTTTGAAGTCCCACAGACCAGCGTTCAAATTATGATTCAGTCGTTTAAATTCTCAAAGCTGCAGTTTCCTCATTTGTAAAGTTGGGGTAATGATGCCTACCTTATACAGTTATAGTGAAGACTGACTCTGATAATGTATGTGAAACATGCCTAGTAAACGACAGCACATTGTTAGTGCTTAGAAAATGTTCTGTCCGTCTTCCTTAAAAATCCTGAAGAATTAAATATCCAGCTGGCCAATTTAAGGGAGCCCATCATATCTGTAGACATGATGGCCTCCAGGACAAGGACAATTAGGCCCCGAACTGTGAATTCCTCAACCCCTAAATAAGGTTTTTCAAAATGAGTGATCAGAGATGACTCAGGCTGAAAAACACAAACAGTAGATCTAATATCTTAGCAGGATCAAGACAGAACAGATACAGGCAAGGCAATACAATCATCTACTTGGGCTTAACAGTAACTGCAATTAAAAACACTGCATTTTAAAAGCCACCAAGAGCAAAGATACAGCACGCTATGTGAAAGTCTAATGGCTTTC